TCCGGGTCCTCATTTTACCCACCTCGGAAGGATGGAAGGCTGAGTCAACCCTGAGCCTGGTGAGATTTGAACAGCCGAACTGCAGAACTGCAGTCTGCTGAAGTAGCCTGCAGTGCTGCATTTAACCACTGCGCCACCAATGCTTATATGGGTTCTAATTGTTTCAACTATTCTTTTTTGTGACTGTTGTAAGCCATCTTCCAGAATGACAGACTATATGAAATCGAATAAATCCCACGACGTATAAACTCACCCAAAGCCCCAGCCGTCAATTGCGCTGGCAAAGACGACGTTTCCCTGATCAGGTGAAAAATAAAGGTGCGAATCATCGGTAAACTCCAAGCCTGCACTCCAGTCGTAAACCTGGTCTACGTTAGTAGGATCAAAATCCAGCTGAGCGTCCGTGTCTTTCTCGGCCCTTTTTTCAAGGATTTGGGAGGTGAAGAGTGTAGCAGTGATGGCGTTTACCTAGAAACAAAGAAAAACTCTATCATTTAATTTATGAGAATTAAATTTATGCGAATGCTGGCTGGGGAATTCTGGGAGTTGAAGTCCAGATATCTTCAAGTTGCCAAGGTTGAGAAACACTGATGTATGACATTCGGGCTTTATGGTCCTAGAGGCAGTTTAAGAACCTTGGCATAAAGGATGCATTAAAATACCAGAAAGATAGGAATTAAAAGTGTTATGCAAGCACTTGAAGAGATCAACCCTGACTGCTCTTTAGAAGGCCAGATCCTGAAGAGGAAACTCACGTGCTTTGGCCACCTAATGAGGAGGACGTTCTCACTGGAGAAGAGCCTCATGCTGGGAACGATCAAGGGCAAAAGAAGAAGGGGAAGACAGAGAAGGAGGTGGCTGGATGGAGTCACCGAAGCAGTCGGCATGAGTTTATTATTATTATTTTATTATTTATTGGTTTTGTATGCCGCCGACTCTCGGAAGACTCCGGGCGGCTTACAATAAAAAGGGAAGGGGGATATAAAAATAAAAACAACAATTTAAAATTACAACAACGGACTCCAGAAG